GGAGTCCATTAAATAAGAGAGAATTTGTATTTATACAATTTCTACTTTAATCTATCACATTGCCTGTAGTTTTACATACATTATTTCATTTAATTCACCAAGTTTGTACTATATAGGTATTACTTTTTTGAAGAATGCTTAAGGATGCAGAGATTTCAGAGTATAATTCCAGAAGTAAAATAGTAAATATAAGATAGAAATGTGAGCGGATATCTAGGGTGCAACTATTAGTCTCTCCACATCTGGAGCAAAGAAGAGTGACAAAAATCAAAGACACAAAACCAAAGGACTAATGGACTACGTCAACCTTAGCCCCACACAACCTTGCAATCAGAAGAACTAGATGGTGCCTGCCCACCACCACCTTCTGCTCTGAAAGGTATCAATTTTGAAGGTCCTGGATAGAGTGGGATAAAATGTGGAACAAAACTACAAATCATAAAAAAAAGATTAGGCTTATTATTGGGACAGAGACTTGTGGAACCCCTGATATTATACTCTTGGTCACTGTTTGGACCTGGAACTGAACTCAGTCTTATAGTTCAATTTTCAGTCAAACAATAGATAGGTCTACAGGGTGAACGGGAACTCTGGTAGCATAGTGCCTAAGGCACTTGAGTGCTAACCAGAAGGCTGGTGGTTCAAACCCACCAGCCACTCCTCGGAAGGAAGATGGGGCAATCTAATTCTATACTGCCTCGGAAACCCAAGGAGGGGCTGCCATGAGTCAAGTCTGACTCAAGGGCACATAACAACAATAACAACACAGGGTGAACAATAACTCTAGGAAGAGGCAGACTACTTGGAACAATCAACCAGTTGAGATAAAAAGAGCAGCATTTCCTCCAGGACAAATTTCAGAAGGCAAAAAGGGTTAGGAGAGAAGAAGGAATGGAAGAAGAAATACAGAGAAGCAGTAGAGGAGTGATGATACATTGAGGGGATTGCAAGCAATGACATGAAACAAAATGTGTGTGAATTGTTGAAAAAAATCTTATTCGCTCTATAAACTTTCACCCAGAAGACAATAAAAAGTAAAAAAAAAAAAAACTGTAGAATTGTGATTCCAGCTGACTCTGACTCCTGAAGCTACTTTTTTTCAGATACAAATTTCTGAAAGTAATGATTGACTTAGAAGAGACCTAGAGGCATAACAACATCGTTGTTTCTCTAGTAGGGAGATATTCGCTCTGATGTGAGAAGGCTGGTTCTGTTTATAAAAGAGGTCTGTACAGTTGGATTCCTCTACACCAGGAAAGAGGTCTCTGAAAAGGAAATCAATACCATTTACAATAGCTACCAAAAACGTAGGATACTTGGGAATAAATATTTCCAGGAATACGGAAGACCTATACAAAGAAACCCATAAAACACCACTTCAAGAAACTGTAATAAGAGATCTACATAAATGGAAGAACATAACCATGCTCATGGGTAGGAAGATTGAACACTGTGAAAATGTCAATACTATCCAAAGTAGTCTATACATTCAATGCAATCCTTATCCAGATTCCATCAATATTCTTTAAAAACATGGAAAAACCAATCACTAATTTTATATGGAAAGTAAAGAGACCTTGGATAAGCAAAGTATTATTGAAGAAGAACAATAAAATAAGAGGTCTCACACTCTTGGGTGTCAAAATCTACTATATAGCCACAATAGTCAAAATAGCCTGGTATTGGTACAATGACAGATATGTAGACCAGTAGGAGCTCTGATATCATAGTGCCTAAGGCACTTGACTGCTAACCTGGAGGTTGGCGGTTCAAACCCACCAGCCACTCCTCGGAAGGAAGGTTGGGCAATCCTACTTCCATAGTGATAACTGCCTCGGAAACCCAAGGAGGGGTCGCTAGGAGTCGGGGCCGACTCAATGGCAAATAACAACAACAAGAATAAAATTGAGAACCCAGAAATAGATCCCTCCATCTATGGTCAGCTGATCTTTGATAAAGGGCTGAAATCCACTAAATGGGGAACAGATAGTCTTTTTAACAAATGGTGCTAGCAAAACTGAATATCCATTTGCAGAAAAATTAAACAAGATCCATACTTCACACCATACACAAAAACTAACTCCAGATGGATCAAAGACTTAAATGTAAAACCTAAAACTATAAAGTTCATCAATGAAAAAATAGGGAAAAATTTAAGGCCCTAATTTATGGCACAAATAGACTGTCAAGCATAACCCAAAATGCATAAGCAGTAGAACAGAAACTAGAAGATTGGGACCTTCTAAAAATTAAATTCTTATGGGAATCAAGAGGCTTCTCCAAAAGAGTAAAAAGGGAATTTACAGATTGGGAAAAAAAATATTCAGAAATGACATATGACAAAGGATTTACTCCTAAAATTTATAGAAAACTCCAACACCTCCACTTTTAAAAAGAAACAATCCAATTGAAAAATGAGCAGAAGACATGAACAGACACTTTACCAGAGACCTTCAGGCAGGCAAAAAACGCATGAAGAAAAGGTCGTGATCATTACCCATTAGAGAGATACAAATAAAAACAACAATGAGATACCATATCACCCCAGTACTGATACTAAAGTTCAATAAGATATAAAATAACAAATGCTGGAGAAAATATAGAGAGATTGGAACTCTCGTACACTGTTGGTGGGACTGTAAAATGATACAACCACTGTGGAAATCGGTATGATGATTCCTTAAAAAGTTGGAAATAGAAATACCATTTTATCCAGCAATTCCATTACTAGGTATATATCCTAAAGAAGTGAGAGCCAGGGAATAGATACATGCACATCCATGTTCATCACAGCACTATTCACAATAGTAAAGAGATGTAAACAACCTAAGTACCCCTGAATGGAGGAATGGATAACCAAACTGTGGTACATGCACACAATGCAATAATATGCAACACTAAAACATAATGTAGAATCTGCCAAACACCTCATAACGTGGATGAACTTGGAGGACATTGTGCTGAGTGAAAGAAGTCAATTACAGAAGAGCAATTACTGCTAATTGGAGAGGTCATTCATTCTAGTATGTAATCCTTAGTTCTAAGAGCCTGGTACCATGCCTTGAAATTGAAAACTACTTTATTAAAAGGATAACTCAATAAATAGAAAAGTACAGGACATTGTACTTAGTCCACTCTTATGAAACATCAAGGAAAGGTTTATATATGGTAGGAAAATTTCTTTGTTGGTTACCAGGGATGGGAAGGGAAAGGAGGGAAAATGCCTAAATAGGTTAAATATATATATATTCCCTTCCCGAAGTAGGAGAAGGGGGAAAGGACAAGCTTTCTTTTGCAGGGTATTGAATTTATGCTTATGATGTTGGAATATATTGGAAAAGGATAGCAATGATGGTGGCACAACATGAAAAATGTCATCAGTGTCCCTGAGCTTTAAATGTGGAAATTGTTATGTTAGTGAATGTCTTGGTGTATATGTTTTTACTACAAGAAAAGTGAAAAAAAAAAAAAAAAGGTCTGTATGCATTAGGACACCTATGTGATATGCTCTATTGTCCCTCCTCATTCCCTCCCCAGTAAGTTGTATTAAAATTTAAAACTTGGATTCCAGTTGCTGAACTTATTGGTTTAAAGTTACTTCATTATTCTCTCTGTTCTATAGGTATGTCAAAGCTAGGATAGTTGTACTTCTCAACTTAGAGTATATGAATCAAATTCAAAAATCACAAATTCGGTTGCTCATAGCTTTCAGAACTATGTGTGAATTAGGTTGCATGTGAAAGAATGGGGAGTAGTGAGGTCTGTTTTTAGGGCCTGCAAGCTCTTCATCAAGGTATTCAGATTCACTTAAAGCTAATCAAACAATAGCAATATGTTAACCAAACAAAACACTTCTATTAAGATTAATCCAACCCAAGGTTGCAAGTTTACATTTAGTGAAAATTAAATGTTGATAGATCATTTGAGCACCTTAAAAGATAGTATAATGTAAACATATTATCAGAATTTAGTTATATACTTTAGACTAGTCTGTTGTCTTAATTATTCCTTCTGTGAACAACACTCTGTTTTCAGTATCTGTCTTAAGGTCGTAAAAGATTATTCCTGTTTTGTAAATGGGGGAAAAATAGTCATCAGACAAATTTAAATGTCCTTTGACAAATCCTATAAAACTAAATCATCTACTTCAAAACTCTAGCATTTCAAACTTGATATTCAACAACAACAAACAACCCACTGTCATTGAATCAATTCTGACTCATAGTGATACTAGAGATTATCTGTTGTTTCAAAGATGATGAATTGTTCTTTGGAGGAAGTAATAGAAATCATCAACTTTTTGCATGGAGGCCCCACAGAGGTTTCCTAATGCTCTCCTCAGATGTGGGGGCCACCTGGGGTTATTGATTGGTCTGTATTGGATGTCCAGACAAGTCTTCCTTCTTCCTGCCTTGCTCTTTTTTTACTCTCTTGAAGGTATGATCAGAGGGGGATGGAGTGGAGGGACTGGGGGGCTGCACTTCAAGGATAAGGGGATAAAAAGGGTCACTGTTTTATATGTGTTTCTTTCCCCTTTATTAGAACTCCCATACTCAACCGTGATGTCCTAATTGCTTCTCTGTGTGTGCACTAAGTGGTGCTCAGACTGCCCAGCACTTGTTTTAAATTAAAATTCAAGCTGCATGGACCACTTTTCTAACTTCTCCACCTTTTACTTGGCTTTTTTTCTTTTTCCACTACTCAGCAGTTGATGTAAATAGATTGGATTATGAGTTAATGCAGGCCTATGGGTTGTTGCTAGGACGAAAAGCCAGGCTTTGTTTGCAGAATAACATTTGTCCTCCAGCTTTCTCCTGGAAATATGAGTCCTTCCCTTTAGAGCAGATTTTTTCCCTCATTCTGAAACAATGGAAAATATGTCCAACTCATGGCATGGGATCTGGTGTCTCTGCATTAGGCACAGTCCTAGGGATTCCCCAGGAGGTTGATGGTCCCAGTCTTTGCCTGAATGCATGCTCATGTGTGATTGTCTTTCACAGGAGGCGATAGAGTTCGGATGACAGCAAATCATGAGAGCTACCTCCTCATGGCGAGCACCCAGAATGATATGGAAGACTGGGTGAAGTCCATCCGCCGAGTTATATGGGGACCTTTTGGAGGCGGTGAGTAAATTTTAAAATTATGGAAAAACAGAAAAATAGCTAAACTTTTTCTTTCCTTGCCCACAGCTGATGTTACTGTCAGCTCCTATTATCAAATGAACAGATATAATAATAAACAGTAAATAACTGAACATTATTATTAGATACATAACTCTTAGAAGTTTAATTTAGATCAAGTATTATTACTGATCAGCCTGCTTCCATGAATATGTTGAATTATAAAAATGATTTGTATTAATTTTTTATTTTGGATTTTTGCATTTCTACTAGCCATGAACAGCTATGGAAAGGCTGTTGTAAATATAGAGTAGCTAGGAAGTCTAGATATAGGACAAAAAAATTTTGGTTTTTAGTTTTGATAGGGATGCCAACTTGTAGATCTCAATGGTATCAAAGAGGAATGATAAAGCTTTCATTCAGAAACTGATGATTTTAAGAGTGGAAAAAAAATCTGTGGATTAGGCGAGTGTTTGTAGATTTTATACTAATTAATTTTTAAAGAATCTTTATTATATACAGTGCTGAGAATGTACCATATAAATAATAAGTTAAAAGATACTATAAGAATATAGGAGGAAGAAAAAGTTAAAGAAGTGATACAGTCATTCAAATATTATATAATCATAAAAGTATTTAAAACAAAATTAGATTAAATAGAATCAGAAAAGTAAGAACCCCAAAATATTTGTCTACAACCAATATGTATTTCACGTATATGAGGCCTAATTCATTTATATTGATGTGCTTAAAAATAATTTTTATTAATATGAAATTCAAATTAATAAACCAGTTACCATTCCTATATTTATTTTACTTTTTTTTACTTTCTCTTTTATTTATTATCAGAACTCTGAATTTAAAGAGTGAATTCTATTTTGCCTTACCATATCGATACTTTTTAGTCCAGCTTACCATTTCAGCACCACATTTGCGAATAACTTCAAATCTTAGTTAATAATGTTAAAGAGTTAAAGTTAAAATAGTAAAGATTCATAGAGGATGTATTGATATTTTGCCACAATGATGAGACATGCCTGCAAATTGTCTATTTTTCAGCAGTATCTTCTGTTGGGGAAGGAGGAGCTTCATGAAAACCAGGGTGATATACTAGTGCATGCTGGCACTTCCAGGGACAAGGATTTGTGGAGACCCTAAGGAAGTGACTTTTCAAAGTTCCCATTATTTCTAAAGACTCTTTTTTCCCCTCTGTCATCAGATACCTGGGGTTCTTGAGTTCAGGAATCCTTAATATCTGCTGAAGGAGCATCTTGGATGAGGGGTTATCTGTTCTCTGTTATTTTCTTCCTTTTCTCTTGTTTCACCCATTCTTTCCCCAAGAAAAAGAAATGAGATCTGCTCATTCCTCTACGTCAGTGGCCACAAAAGGTTGTACTAGCCCAGGAATTTCAGACATCACACTGGGACTATACCAAATTCTGTCATAGTTCTCTAGTGCTACTATAACAAAAACCCCATAGATAGATAGCTTCCACAAACAGAAATTTATTCTCTTACAGTTTAGGAGGCTAGAAGTTCAAATTCAAAGTGCTGGTTCTAGGGGCTGGGTGAAGGCCCTTGACCATGAGCTTCAGCTTTGCATCTCGTTCTAGGCCTCTGGAACTGGAGGCATCTTATAACTCATGCAGCTGCTGGCTGCTGAGGCTGATAAACCCAAAGCCAGCAGATAATGTGGCACAATCTCAAGATCAGCAACATGACAGGCCACTGGGTCAAGTCCAGGTATTGGATATGAAGACTCAGCCAAATGTAACAACCCAATGTGCCAAAAAGCTAGAGATCCTTCCCAAAGCTTCTCCATATATACTGGAAGCAGGCCACACCCTGAAGCTAACTCCACTTCAACTGCTTAGCTGCCCACTGTGGAGGTGATTATAATCTCATCATGGGAAAGAACTACATCCAGCTGCCAAGCCACTCAAAATCATGCCCCAGCCAAGTTGACACATAACTTTAACTACCATATATGTAAAGAAGCTCTGGTGGTTGAAGTATTGGACTTCTAAGCAAAAGTTGGCAGCTCACACCCACTTGCCACTCTATAGGTGAAAGATGATTCAGTTTGTGCCCATAAAGATTTACAGCCTGAGAAACTCTATGGGGCTGGCTTCTCTGTCCTATCGGGTCACTATGAGTCAGAATAGTTTCAATGGTAGTGGGTTTGGTGTGGTTATCTATCCATATATATCTTAATTGTTCATTAAGTCTGGGTGCTTAGCCCAATTTTAGCTAATAGAAAATCAGGTGCTTCCTATGCATTTCTCTCTTCTGATGAAGAGCTGAGTTACAGACCCATGAAGGTAAAATGAAGTCTTATAGATGAATAATACTTCTGATGAATAATTGGCATGTGGCAAATAGGAATTAATTAATAAATAATATGGTCTTAAGGAAGAAGCACCTATTCCTTGCCTCTGACACAAATCACATGTGAGATCTTAAATAAGTGGCTTCATCTTCCTTGCCTTCAGTTTCCTCTATTATGAAATAAAAAAATAGACAAAACTATTCTAAGCTTCTTCCTAGCCCCCAAATCTTGTGATTACATGTATTCTCTCCATCCAATGCTCAGGTCACTGAATTTTCAGTAGGCTATACCTCTTTTGAGTTCAATAATGTCTCTGTGTTGCTGGTAGTGAGATAAATTTTGTGATTCTTTATATTCTTAGCAGTGTGCTCTGAAACAGAAACAATGTTTGAAATAGAGGACATAAATAACTAATAATGATCCTTTTAATGACAAAATATTAACCATCTGGACATACTAGTAGGCGCTCTGGTGGTGTAGTGCCTAAGGTGTTTGCTAACCAGAAGGCTGCCAGTTCAAACCCACCAGCCACTCCTTGGAAGGAAGATTAGGCAATCTACATCTGTAGTGATACCACATCTGAAACCCATGGAGGGGTCGCTATGAGTCAGATGTAACTCCATGCAGTGAATTAGGTGGGGCTTTTTGGATGTACTAGTCAGAGTAATGATGTTTCTAATGGGACTACCTTTTCAGCACTCCTCCCAGTTTTATAAAGTTTCTGCTGAATGGCTAGGAAGATAAAATGAAGTCTTGTAGGACTAGCTAGGAAGGAACACAGAGGCATGGGGGGTCAGTTGGGGTTAAAGCACTAGCATTCCAAATCTGTTCATGGAACAGCCAGGTAGATGAATGATTAACCAAATGAATAAATTGTTCATTAAGTGAGATTGAGAGTGTTGGAAGGACCTGGGACCTGGGGTGGAAAGAGAGTATTCAAGAGTATGGCAGAATGTTGAAAGCAGGGTTGGTTTTTAAATCATCACCAGAGAAATATATATGTGTGTGTAAATGTGTGTAGTTTGAGTGCACACATGCACACACACATACACATTAACTTTTTGTGATTATACTTGCATTCTTTGTTACTATATTTTATATTTTCCTATTTTAGAGAAACAGACATATGTATATATGCATATAAACAAATGTACACATGTGTGTATGTGTTAATGGTATATACATTTCAACCAGGTCACACAAATAAATTCAATACCAAAGGATCTGATAAAAAAAAAAAAAAATCTTGTATAGGAAGAGAATAAAAGCAGGAAGGACAGTAAAAATTTACCCCCTTGGGGTATTTGGGGGCTGTTGATTTCTGGAGGGGCTGAGTCAGCCAACTGTTAAGTGCTGCACAGGAAACAACAACCGGGAAGGCATTGCAAAGTCTAAAGAAGAACGAAGGTTACACAGCACCAGTGCATTCTCCCTCCTACCCTAGTATTGTGGTGGCTGCACCTGCTGCATGTGACCAGCAGGCACTGAAGGCAGCCGCAGCCACAGCCATGGTGACGAGGCAGCAGCAGCACTGCCAGCTCTCTCCCAGCTCTCATTGAGAAAAAGGGAGCTGGAGCTGGAGGAGGGGGAGGAGACGTTCCCTGCAGAGCAGCCTCCCCCGCAGATCCAAGGAGGCTCCTGGAATGGGCACTCGGCTGTTCTGACGTGGTGATTCTTTCGGGATTCCTGGGAGTTTGAAGACAGAAGCGAAAAGGGAGAAGCTCACAGAGATCATCAAGGCATGAGGGGTGCTATAAAAGGAACAGGAGAGTCCTTTGAAAAGAATTTACCATGCACTGAACTGCTTTCTGGAGAAGGTGCCATTATTTTCCTCTCCTTTTGCTCAGATGAAAGGAGCCAGCAAGGACAGTCCTGAAGTATTCCTCAGAGGCCTTTTTGTCATTGTTCCTCATTCCCCTTGCACAAGGCTGTTTGCTGACCTTTCCAGAGGAATCTCAGTCCCCCTAGTTCCAGCTGAGAAGACAATTCTTAATAATAATAATAATCCTTCTGCTTGACTGAGAAGTGTAGTTTGCTTGCTGCAATTCTTTCTGCTGAGACTTTTCGGGATGTCTGCAGAAACTTAAAAAATACCTTAAAAACTCCCTGGATGAGGGAAAAGGAAGTGTTTGCCAAAAAGGAGTAAATGAGAGGTAATGATCTATTCCTAATCCAGGACCTGGATGATCAAACCTTCAAGTTCTAGGAATCAGCACTTCAAACCTAACAAATAAACAAACATGAGAAGTGACTGTGAGGTATTGCACAGAGGCAGGTTGTAAAGGAAGCCTGAAATTGGTTCAGAACTTTGGGTCTGTATGATGCCTGAAGATCGAAATACTGGGGGACACCCTGCAGGTGCCTTAGGGTCAAGTCCTTTCATCCCCAAAACTACATACCGAAGAATCAAACGGTGTTTTAGTTTCCGGAAAGGTAGGTAGATGATATGTTAATATCTCTTAAAATATGTATACATACTCTCTGATGCTCGAAGGTTAGTTTATGCTCAGATCAGATGGGAGTTTGGAAGTATGAGCTCAGAACTGCATGAGAATGATTTGCATGTATCCTTGCTTTTCTATAATCCCCCCCCAAGGGTTCCCATGGATCTGTTCATTACAGTCTGTAAATGGGCTCTGTAGGTGGGGCTTAAAGAATGGAGTTCCTATAGGGA